CCCCCAATAGTAAATATCTACATTTAGAAACTGCATTTTTGTGTTTACTTGTGTTATCTTTGTCTAATATACATACATATTGATGATCTAAAACATTTAAGTGTGACAAAAATGGAAAAAATAGTAATTATGGAAGGGGCCAAACACTTTTTCACACCACTGTAGCCACCGTGATCTGACTGAATCACACTCCAGTTAACTCATCGTAAGTTGGTGGCCAACAAGCATTTCCTGGATAAACTGATCTGACACTTGGAATGATTAAAACTCATAAATCTGACTTAATGATTTATGCATTATAACCCAAGATGAACAATAAAGACCTCACCTTTGCAGAGAATAATTATCCCATAGACTTGTATAGCACCACAAGTCTTTTCCAACCACAACCATTGCCCCTTGGTGGGTTAAGAACTAATGCAGATTTAAGGCACTTCTGCACTTCACACTTCAGACCCAGAAGCCGTCGTTTACACTGTCTATGAGTGAAATGCAAGTGTTTTAATAGTAGGTTACTTAGCACTAAGCAGGTATCAGTAACTGCGTGATACACCCAATAGAAATAGGCTAATTAATCTACCCACTATCAACCTAAAACCAGGATTTCGCTCTCTTTTCGAAATATGGAAACCTCTGGCTCTGAAAAACAAAGATGGTGACAACTGTAGTATAAAACAAAACCAAAGCAATGTTAATAAATGAGCCTTAGTAGTGCTGTTTGCTGTATTTTTCTACACGTAATATAAAGGTCTTTCTTTTGATCTAACCATTAAAATCTTCTGATATTATGCAGCTATTAATATGACAAAATAAGTAAAAACAAATATGTGACTGAGCACCTTTTTTTTTTTTGGCTGATGCTTTGTGCCCACCAGATGACTCACTGCCTGGCCCTGTTTCCACTGATGCCATATCCGCTCCCAGATATCATCCCACTCTAATCAAGAACATCAAATCTGCGATGATTTTGTTCTCTTTCTATTTAAAGCCTCGACTTGCGAGCTCCACTACAGCTATAAATAAACATATAGCTCTTTGTAACAGGACACGACAAGCATCATCTGGTCCTGCTGGGGGGAAACTGGGGCTGACGACAATCCTGCCTGTCAAGGGTGTTGATTTACTGAATGATTCATTTTCCTGATGTTTTCAGATCAGATACGACAGGACGAAAAAGCAGGGCCAACGAACGGAAAGTTCACGGCAAGTTTATGTTTTTGAACCAAGGTGAACTTTTCGGCGTGTGAATGCCTCACATTTCACTTCTCACTGTCAGTATCCTGTGAAACTGTGAGTGTGATGCACAGATCTGTCTGTTTTTATATAACTCATCTATACTGTAATGTTTCCTGTCGTGTAATTGTGAATGATGTAGAAGTGAGAGTAGAACCTGAGCAGACCTTTACCAGCATGTTGCTACCACACTTTTGATTTCCACTCTGCTATGTCTAGACATGTACACCAATCAACTTTCAGCACTGTGCCGGACTGCTCTGTTCCTGATCAAAGCTTATTTACCTCGCTGAGTCCCTCAGGATGGAGATACCTCTTAGCAAAGGGCTGCGTGACCTCAGCTGCACAATTTTAAAAGAGTAACCAGAACCTTCGGAGGCAATTCAAACATTATTGTTCTGCTCGTGCGGCAGCCAGCAGACCTGCAATCGACTTTTGGGTCTCCACCTGTGGCTGGAAGGAAATGATGAATGCCTCCAACTGCTGACTTTAAGATAAGAAGCGTCTCCCTCCGTTTGTCTGCCTCTAACTGACATGCACGCTCATATACACAGCTCTTTAGGATAGCGGTCAATATGAACAGGATGCAGTAGCCCCTGAGTGAAAGCGATTGCCATGTAGGTTGTGGTGTGTGTCATAAAGCTGCTGGCAGCTGAAATGTCATCTTGAGGGACAGGAAATAGAGCATCTGGGAAGAAAAGTGCAGCAATGTCACAGCGGTATGAGACAGTGTAAGAGGCACAGGATGAAGGAGACAGGAAACCCAAAAAAGTAAATTGATCCAGTGCCTCTGGGGTTGAAAAGTTGCATTTTTTCAGAAACACTGAGTGATTTTTATTTTTTCCATAGTGCATTTTGTCAGTACGCACACCTTTTAGGATTTTGCAGGTAGCCAAAAAACATAATAATGCTTCCTATTTTAGAGAGTTGTCTTTTTTGCCAGTGTGATTAAAAAATGTGAATAACTGAACTGAAAGTCTTCATATATTGTGACAATTTGCATTTTTTAAAGCAGTGTGGCAGTCCCAGATGCTTTAAATCTGCTAAGGGTTAAAGCTGGACATGCGGCTTAGAGAGAGACACAGATGTTTTCACTCTGGCAGATTAAGTGTACTTGTAAGAATGATTATTTAAAAATTCAGTTATCTCACCCTTAAAAGGCACTAAGAGGACATTTAGGGAAATGTCCATCAACACAGTCCTGAAAAGAGGTCTGATTAGTCAACACAAGCGAAAACACCAGTGTAGGTGAACCGTAGTTGTTTTTCACTTAATCCTCTTTATCCCCTGTAACACAAGGCCACACACTCTAGTCCTTGCTTTTTCTCCTAATACTGCAAAGGCTGTTTTCATGTATCAAATTAACCCCGAGGTCTCTCCCAGTGATGTGAAAGACCAGAAAACCACTCAACTTTTGTTTTCTACCAGAGGCCTTGGGCTGAAAGTCTGCAGAAAGTAAACAGACCTACATAGGGGTTTCTTGTTGCGTGTACAGCATGTGTTGAGGTGTAAAATATACATTTCTGTATGACTTTTGTGAAAGCCCTTTAACTATAGTATGCACAGTATCAGCATCAGACTTGCAGAATCTCTTTTACTAAGACATCTTTCCAATTTCCTTACCAAAATATAAAAGCATGTCCATCAAGCCCCTTACTGAGACCAGTCTGTTTTGATTGACCTTGCTGGTTACGTTGCCCCTCTGAGACAAAGTCAAGATAGTTTTGTGACAACTTCGGCCCTTTTTGAATATGGACAACATCAAACCCAGAGGCTGAAACTTCTAAAATGCTACAAAAATATAAACGGTTAACTGTCATAATCCAGAAAAAATAATGCAAAGCTGATTGATTGTGTGTATTTTTTTCTATCCAGGTATGAGTTTATGAGTGTGTCTGAGATCACTGTCGTGATGAAAAATGAAGCTGTTTCTAACCAGATGCTTTCCAGATGGTTTTGGAATGCAGAAAAATCTGACCGTATTTTTCTGCATTCATAATTCCACCAATTTTGAGAAGGTCACCAACGCCACTGGCTGAAATGCAATCCCAAACCATGACAGAGCCTCCACCATGTTTTACAGATGGCTGTAGACACTCACTGTGGAACATTTCTCCCGACCTCTTCCATACACGTTGATGATGATTCAAACCAAAAATGTATCACTTATATTCTTTGCTCCATAGGACCTGTTGCCACTAGTTTCCAGTCCAGTTTCTGTGTAATTTGCCACACCTCAGCCACCCTTTCACTGCGACTGTTTCTGATGAGGCGAACAGTAGATTTATTATTTTGTCCTCCACTTTCCTCAGTTTTTTTAAGGATACACTGCACACCATGCCAAGATATGCTAAAAGCTCTTTGGAAAATGTGTAGACACAACAGTGGTCCATCCTGTAAGTTAGGTGCCTTTTTAATGCCAGAATAGCTCACAGGTCAGTGTTGAGTGGCTTAACAAAGCAGCCAGTGTTTAAAGAAAAACAGCAATAGTTCTTCAGAACACTTTAAATTTATGAGAAGACGTGGCTTCTTCAAAGCAAAATAAAAAGAAATGAGGTGTGCGTGTGTAGGGAACAAGCGGTCCTGCTTTATCAAGAGGATCGAACATCATTATTGCTGCAATATCCTTAAAGACTCTTGAGAAAGACCACAGCTCACATCCCATCATAATGACTCTTCAGCAATTCAATGTCACCGGACCACAGTCACTGCAAGGTTTAGTTAGTTGCTGTGCTGATCCTTGACCACTGGGTGCCGCTGTCCCGTCACGCCAGCTCGTCGTGCTGTGGGATGGAGGCAGTGAAGGGGAGACCTGACCATTGGGCATTCATCTTGGGTCAGGTGGAAAAGAATGGGTGATTGGTTTACGAGCAACATTCTCTGTCCTGATTGGACGGAAAGGTGCGCGACGGTGAGAAGAGAGGGAGATAGATAGGGGGAGAGAGAGAGAGAGAGAGAGAGAAGAAGTGTATCCCCTTCAGCACTCGCTGGCTGTGCCGGCTCAGCACACACTCACACAGACTGAAGACTGCGATGTGACTGCTTACCAGAGGAATACAGCGTGTTCCAGTGGGGATTTTTTCTCTCTTCTCTGTTAGCAGGATAATGGGAGAGGACGGACAGGGAGTCAGACTGGCCATGCCGGCCACTTGGGCTGTTCTGGTTCTCTTCACGGTTACTTCAGTGCATGCAGTGGAAGGTAGGTTTGCAAACCAGGGAGCATCTTTTTGAGTGCTACAGCTGGCGCAGGGTGATTTAATTTATGCACAGTGGTTGAGCTTCTGAAGATGTAACATCAGCTAAGCTTTCTTATCCTTAGACATTTGGAATTTAACTTTATGCAGAGCTCCATGCATTTTTGGAAGAAACTTGAGACTGATGGAGGATTTTTACCACAGTAAGTTTTCTGGTCCTTCATGGTGAGCTGGGTGTGTTTGGGGTTTAATATGAATGCTAATTGCCTTTCAGCAGTGGGCCAATTAGTGCTTTATTGGGAATACTGACAGTTATTGCTGTGCACGCATGCACAAAATGACACAGAAAGTAGTCCCTTTGTGCTCTTCTAATATATTCCATGTTCTACTTTTATACAGCCTTAAACATCCAGCCTTTCCAGGACATGAAAAAGGACATAAATCACATTTAGTACAGCCTTTATGTACATGACACGGGCATAAATTGTATCAAGTTTCTTACAGGGTCCATAAATGTCTGTTGCCATATTATAAAAATGTGTGTTGTTTAGTATCAAACATTACCATGTTTCTCCCTCCTGAGTGCACTGTTGTAGCTGTTTTATCACACAGGCCACCACTCACCTGTGAGCAGCAAAGTGAATCATAATTATAGCTTGCAGGTGCTCACCGGCTCCTTGTAGCTGCTTCCACCTCCCCCGCTGTTCCTTCTGCTGCTCCTCCCTACAGTGACCTCTTGCTCCTCCCTGCCGCTTCCCCGCCTGAAGCGCCATCTCCCCACGCTCGCCTCCAAACATCACCTCGTGCCTCTTTTGTGTTACCGTGAACCTCTCCCAAGTACGATCTCTAGCAACTCGTCTCAAAAGCATCCCGTTGCTCCTCTATCCCTAACCCCTGTTGCTCCTGTAAGCCAGGCATCACATTGTTATTGCCCCTTCTCCACAAGCTTCACCCGCTGCTCCTTATCTTTACTTCCCTTCCAGCACCTCTCACTGCTGGTGCTCCTCTCTGAACAGCATAATTTTAGTACCGCCCGCCATCTACTCCCGCTCCCCCTTCTTTTTCCAAAGACCCAATTTCTTCTACACCCCAAAAAAACATCTTCTGCTTCATCCTTTGCTTTCCCGCTTGTCCTCTCCAGACATGACCTATTTTCCCTAAAGGATCCCAGCATCGTCTAGTCTGCACATCATCACTTTTCTAGTTGTTTTCATGAACTTCTTTTACCCCTCTCCACACCTCTCATTACAGTCCTGATGTTCCTCCTCAAGAGTTCCTCCTCTGCTCGTCTTTCAGCCTTTCTTTCTGCTGGTGTCCCTTCCTACCCATGGACCCCTTGCCTTTGTTCCTTGCTTTTCTCCTGCTTTTCCCCCCTCTCTTCTTCTCCCGTTCCTTCCCCTTCCTCCTCAAGCATGACTTCTTGCTCCTTTCTCTGTCTCCTTCCCAGCAGGCATCACCTGCTGTTTTGGCCTGTTTGCTGGTCCCTCCTCCTGCTGTTTATGCAACACTTCTTCCTTCACCTGCTGCTCTTTCTCACACTTCACTGACTGCTCATGTCACTCCTCTGACATCCCTACCTGGTTCTTCTTCTTCTCGCTGCTGCTCCTCTTCCTCCTCCTCCTTGTCATGTTCTCACCACTGCAGCTTTCCCAACCTTCAAACAGCTAAACCAACCATGCATCGAATGACTGCTTTTGCTTTCTTTTCCTTCTCCATCCACAGTCAGCTTCCACTCCCTCGTCCTCTGCTGCTTCTCCTCCTCCTGCTGCTGCTGCTGCTGTTGCTTATGGAAGTGCTAGATTAGTCTACTGCTGTGTTTTAATGGTGCGCGTAATGACAGGCTTCGTACCGACTCTTCCCCATTATGAGACATGTAAATGCGTTGAAGGGCAGCTCTATTTTGATTAAACAGAATGCTGTTGCAGTGTGTGTGTGTGTGTGTGTGTGTGTGTGTGTGTGTGTGTGTGTGTGTGTGTGTGTGTGGGAGGAGGGAGAGGTAGGAGGTTTAGCTGGAGAGAAGAGACAGATAGGTACAGTGTGGGTGGTGGGTTGTTTTGTGGTCATGGTGGCCTTTTCATGGTAAGTAGGTGCTTAATGAACTGATGTATAAGCTGGTCGGAGTTTGTTGGTGTTAAAAAGAACCACAGCTGACACAGTGACTGTTATTATCTGTGCTTTGTGTACACTCTGTGTGTATTTCACCCTATACATCAGACTTTTTACAGCACTCAGTTGATGCTCTAAAGTGATACCATTATCAGCAGAATATATATTGGTCTTTAAATAGCAGTAAACTGTAGGGCAGACAAAGATGCAGTGTATTGCTGAGAGTGACGTCTCATTCTTAATCCATAGGGTTTAAAATGAATGAAGCTATAATAGCTCCAAATATTCTGGGAATGCTATCCATAAGGTTTAGTGTTGTGCCAAAAGCACATTTGTGAGGTCAGACAATGATGTTGGACGAAGAGCTGGCCCATAGTCTCCACCCTAATTCATCCAAAACGTGTATATCAGGCTGAGGTCAGGACTCTGTGCAGGCCAGTCAAGTTCTTCCACACCAAACTCGCTCATCCATGTCTTTATGGACCCTGCTTTGTGCAGTAGCACATAGTCATGTTGAAACTGGAAGGGGTGATCTCCAATCTGTTACCATTAAGTTGGGGGATGAAACTGTCCAAAATGTCTTGGTATGTTGAAGCATTAATTATTTGTTTCAATAGAACTAAGTGGCAGAGCTCACCTCCTGAAAAACAACCCCACACAATAATATCTCTCCTCCACCAAACTTTACACTTGGCATAATGCAGTCAGACAAGTACCGTTCTCCTGGAAACCGCCAAACTGACACCCGTCCATTGACCAGAGGGAGAAGTGTGATTCATCAAGGCAAGGCAAGGCAAATTTATTTGTATAGCACAATTCAACAACAAGGTGATTCAAAGTGCTTTACAGAGACATTAGAAACAAAAACAAATAAAAAGCATGATTTAAAATTGATTAAAACAAGCAAACAAACAAACTAACTAAACACACACATTTCACACCTGTTCGCGCGATCTGAACCCTTATCGTAAGGGGAGCTACCAGTCCTTCTGTGGACGAGCTACTTTCTATTTTAAATTCCCTGAATTTAAAATACTCTCTAGACCCAGTCTAGACCCAGCTGGGGAGCTACCCAGAGCTCTAAACCCACTTAACAAACAAACAAACAAACAAACAAAACAGTATATAAAATCAAAACAGATAAAATCAGAACAGTAGATAAAATCAGTAGTTAGTGTAAGTTTTGAAATTTAAGCTTAAAAGTGTGGATTTGGTGCTTTATTCAAATGCAGCTGAGAATAGGCGAGTCCATCACTCCAAAGAACACGTCTCCATTGCTCTAGAGTCCAGTGGTGGTATGTGTTATACCACTGCTTTGCATTGTGCTTGGTGATGTAAGGCTTGGATGCAGCTGCATCGTGGAAACCCATTCCATGAACTTCTCAGCACTGTTCGTGAACCAATCTGAAAGCCACATGAAGTTTGGAGGTCTGTAGTGACTGATTTGGCAGAAAGTTGGAGACCTTTTGCACACTCAGCATCCACTCATCCTGCTCTTGGATTTTAGTAGTGAGAAAGACTGGACTTGCACATCCTATCACAGTACCACGCTGGAATTCACTGAGCTTCTGAGAGCAACCCATTCTTTCACAACTGTTTGTAGTAGCAGTCTGCATGCCTAGATGCTTGATTTTATACACTTGTGGCCATGGAAGTGATTAAAACGCTGGATTTCAGTAATTTGGATGGGTGAGTGAATACATTTGGGAATATAGTGTATACCAGGGGTAGGCAACTCCAGGCCTTGAGTGCTGGTGTCCTGCAGGTTTTAGACTTCACCCTGGGTCAACACACCTGAATCAAATGATTAGTTCATTACCAGGCCTCTGGAGAACTTCAAGACATGTTGGGGGTGTCCAAATTCCTGGGTTGCATCCTCCTGAGGCTGCATTTGTAGGCCAATTACGTCACAGCGAAGCAACGAAGGCTGTCCAAATTTGTAGACTCCTCCGAATGCAGCCGACAAATGCGTCCTCCTTTTCCCCGAAATTGAAGGATGGGTCGGGTGTGTTCTTCGTGGCCCACCATATCCCAGAATTCATAGCACGGCCCAGCCAGTTTCCAACAATGGCGACCGCTACTCAGTTTTAATATTACTCTTATTACTCTTTCTGGGTCACAAAATAAACTTTTAATGTATTTTCAGGCGAGAATGTAGCTGTGTAAACTTCAAATATCTGCTCGGTTTATCAAGACATCACATCACGTTTTCGGAGAGGTCTGTTACCCACCAGCTCGATAGGAGCTTGAGGGTCAATAGAGCCGGCGAGGAGGGCAAACTCCCGTCACATCATTTTCAGATCACCGCGGTCTTTCGCTACTCAGGTTAAACGTGATATATAAGCCACTTAGATAACTTAAAAATGTTATCGTTTGGCTTTTTTCAGTGTTTTATTTGTTCATGAGTAAATCGGTTTGGCTGATATTAAAGTTATTAGATTAAATTAGATAAAATAAAACTTTATTAATCCCCTGGGTGGGTTCCTCCGGAGGTTTTCACACAGCTGAATAAACGTCAAACAGAAAACTGATTAAACAGAAGTCTGAGATGGTCAAGAATTTATACCAGTGTCCTGTTATATTTTAGATAGCAAGGATGTCCTTTATCCATCTGCATCTTAAGGATAAAGGACACTCTTTCGAGGATGCCAATGTTCACATTTTGGACAGAGAGGACAGATGGTTTGAAAGAGGAGTGAAAGAAGCCATCTATGTCCACTGTGAGCGACCATCTTTGAACAGAGGCGGGGGTTTACGACACCAACTCTCTGCCATCTATAATCCAGTTTTGAGTTCCCTTCCCAGACGCCTTAACGCCCACTCACATCCTGGGCCATCTGACCTCAGGAATTCGCATGACAAGGTGGGGCCAGGTTTCACAATGAACACACCCCAAACT